CAGCACAGCCCCACCATCAGAAAAAAAAAAAAAAAAAATTCCTGGCCCTGTTTTTGCGTCGCCCGGTTCACCCGGGCGGACCCCCCCGGGCCCAACCGGCCGGCGTCCGCCCGGCCGGGCGCCGGTGCAGCCTAGGAATTATTTGAATAATATGAATATTACAATAACCAGTGACAAATTGAAAATCAAAGGAATCGTTGAATGAATAAATGAATGAATGACTGAATGACCAGTTTTTGTTTTTTTGTTTTTTTGAAGGGTGACGGCCTTGAGATATCATTATTGAGCTCACCTGCCCCAGGTAAGTCAGCATTATTTTATTCGGTTCCCTCTGATTGAATCTGCATTCAACATGGGTCTGTACTTATAGATCTGTACATCTGGGCCTAAGGCCCTCCTCCCTGCTTGTTATAGATCTGTACTGATAGATCTGTACAACTTGGCTCTTGAGGCCAAGACTCTTGAGTCTTAACCACTACAGCCAGGACACGGCGTGCAAAAGTGGCACCATACCATACCGACCGTTCAAAAGTGGAACCATACCGGCCGTGATATCCACCCCACCCCTACAACGCTGTAGTGTCCAGCTCGACACACACCTGAATTATTTTATTCTGTTTACGTGGGCATCTGGAATGAAACTAGCGCAGTTGGTAAGCCCACAAACTATTGAAATACAGACCTGAGTTCGAGTCCAGATGCCCACAAAAACAGAATAAAATAATCCAGAACAGGTTCACATTCTTGTAAAACCAAAAAAAGAAAAGTCCATTTGATAGAATCTGATGACGGTATCCACATTCATAACAGGCCTGAGTAATTTGATCCCCCCTATATCACCCTGCATCCTAGCAGGAGATCGGAATGCTACCCTAGACCCGGCCACCGACCGCATCTCTAGGTCAACGGCCAGCCGACCGATGCAAGAAGTAGTACCCATCCAGAAGTTGATGCTGGATCATAATCTGGTGGAGCCATACCGCACTCTGCACCCTGGAGAAAGAGCATTCACACTAGTGAAAAAGAATCATGCTCAACACACGGCTTTCTCCCTCATAGACTGCCTCCTGCTGTCATAAATGCTAATGGGAACAGCCAAACACAGAGATCCTCCCCTTTCAGTCGTATGCAGGCCTGGACCACAAACCCATCGAACTAACTCTCGGTTTTGACGACTTCGTAAAGAAAGGATACGGTTTTCATAAACTGCACAATTCTCTCCTACTAAGCAATTATCCCCAACAGGAGTCCTAGACTGCTGGCAGAATATGAGAGGTTGCTACCTCCCCAACCAAGACAGGTGGGAATGGTTTCAAGAAAGCTACTCTACCCTGTCACAGACGGCAGCTATGATGTCAAGAAAACTCTACACTAATATTTTCCATAAAGCGAGAGAAGAATTGTCCATGTACCGATGCTGGGAGTTGAAAGGCCTACAAATAAGAGCAAGAATGAATGAATGAATATGAGCTCAGCGAAGCAATGTCAAAATATTTCTTTGCAAGGATTAAGGCAAATGCAAGGTCCAATTCAATTGAAGGCCTGAAGTCTCTTTCCGACCAGCACTGACACGAACGAACAGCAAAGGAATGCTAAACATAGCCAATGAGTTCTATGAGGAGCTCTATCAAACAAAGACCCCGACTCCTACCCCTCCCAGCACCAGAGAAGCTCGCACCAAAATGCTCCAATACCTAGACAAAACGATATCACAAGAGCAAGCAGATGCTCTAGACAAGCCCATCACCCCGAAAGAGCTTCAGTGCGCAGTCCAGCAACCAAACGGCAGGTATTGATGGTCTAACTAAAGGATTTTGGGAAAAGTTCTGGCCACTCCGGGGGGGGGACCTATTGAATTTCTACAAAGACAGTTGGCTCAAAGGCAGACTAGGGAATCTCCTGAGTAGCAGCATAGTTACACTACAATGCAAGAAGGGCGAAAAAGAAGACGTAAGAAACTACAGACCTATCTCCTTACTCACACTGCCCTACAAAATCCTAGCCAAAGCCCTAGCCCTCAGCATCGACCTCACCAACAAGTGCTTCCACATAGACCAAACAGGCTTCACTCCGGGGAGATACATTATGGACAATGTACTTACCCTCAACGAAGCAACGAATAAAGTAGACCAAACAGGCTTCACTCCGGGGAGATACATTATGGACAATGTACTTACCCTCAACGAAGCAACGAATAAAGTAAGAGAGAAGAGGATCAACACTGCAATACTGTTGTTGTTGTTTTTGAGGAGGCGTATGACCAGGTCAATTGGGCTTTTCTAAATGCAAGCATGGAAAAGATGGGAGTTGGCCTGAATTTCAGAAAATGGGTACGTATACTCTACAACAACGCCATTGGCCTGCTATCCGATTGTTACCAATCTCTCGCTCAGTTCGCCAAGGAGATCCATTAGCCCCTCCAATCTTCTTACTTGTCATGGAAGCAATCGCTTACTTCCTCCGGAAGGATCCCTCTATCCATAGACTACCAGAAGTCAATGTACGTTCAGCCCACCATCTGAATTTTCCGACAGTAATAATGTTTGCAGATGACCTTACCGTCCTCATACGAGCCTCAGATTCATCTTTCAGTGTGTTAGTGAGAGCTCTGGAAGCCTTCAGACTTGCATAAGAAATGAAAACCAACTGGAAGAAGCCAATTGGGTGGTGGCTGGCAGAAGAAGAAACCCCTCAGCTCCAAGGCCCAGAGGCAGCAATGACCTGGGAAACGCCTGAGACACACACACAATATCTGGGGATCCTGATGACAAAAAAGGGTTTTGCCCTTCAGGCAGATGGGCCAATACCTTCACATCCCTACTCGGTCGCGCACTTACCATCAACACCTCTATCTTCTCGATGATGTGGTATATAGCCTCAATCTAGACGGTACCAGATAACACAATCAATGAACTAAACCGTAAAGCAAGAGCTTACCTATGGTCAGGGGACCCCAATAAAACCAACTGTATCCCAAAGATAGCATGGCATTATATTACTAGAAAACCAAGCAAAGGGGTCTGGGCATCACAGACCCCAAGCAGGAAACCAAAGCCCTCCAAGTCAAATGGGTTATCAAAATTCTTACTAAACCGGGCACAGCAGGGAACAAACTAGCACTGGACAGCAGAAGAGGCCTAGCCCCGGTACTGACACCAGCAAAGATGTCTGGCCTATTCTGGGTGATGAACAAGGAATGGACCCCGAAAACAGGACGCAGAAACCATCGATGAGGAGTCGACCGCCCACAACCTATTGGACAGCCCTGCTACGGATCTGGCGGGGAATCATGCCCAGAAAAATTGGCAAACCCAAGTCCAGGGAAGCGGTACTGAGACAACCCCTATTTGGAAATCCGTGGGTGAGAGATGAAAGCGATCAGTCGCTTCCCCTCAAACCAGGGAATATGCGTTGGCTTTCATGGATAAAACACGGAGTATGGAAAATTTGCCACTTATGGGATGAAGAGAAAAAAGATTGGGTAACTGACCAGGAACTGGTCTCTCACCTCAAGGGCTGTCACCGGCGAGATAGGAACCTGCAGAACATCATCAACTGCATCCCCAAAGGCTGGAAGGAGCTGCTAAAGGGAGCATCTATATGGAAAACAGGTGAATGGGGAATCCGGATACAGGAACAGCCCCCCTCGAAAGCCTTTCAATTCTCACACAAAGAACAGAGTTCGAGTACGGTTGTGGTGTTCACGTCATACCCAATGTTGCTGTCAGCTCATGGCTCCGCATCTATCGTGGACAAAGACGTGGAAAGAACAACCCTAGATACCCTCCTCCTCAGGAAAGTGAGAGTCACGGGCTCCTGGCCCAAAACAATCTTCAGAGTGGACACTGCGATCCAGGACCTGGAATTCGACCGAGCAGAGTGGGCCTGGACATCAGGTAGAAACAAGAATATCAATACAGACATCCTCGACTACTCATTGAAAATGGGCTTCAGATTATTCCTCAAGACAAAAGACCCGGAACCCAAAATCAGAAGCCCATGGTCAAAATTAATCGGACAAGAAGCAGACCAGATCTCACAAATCCCATGGAAAAAAAAAAAAATCAAAACGATTAGGCCAGTCAAAATTAGAAGTCTGCAATGGCTTATCGCCTATGTGGCGTTGCCGGTCAATCAATAGCTCCATATTTGAAGATGGAGGTATGACCCTAACAGTTCTGAACTATGTGCACAGTCTGTTGAGATAGCGAGCCGGAAGACATTCTTCACTGCCTGATACGCTGTAAGGAAGCGATGGAGTACTGGGCCAGGACGTCAGACCTCTGGGACTCCCTTTCTCAAAGGCCCTTCCTGAACATCCTATCCAACTTCTACTATGGACTAACATCCTGGCTGATTTCAATAATACGGAAAGGACATGGTTTGGCATGATCAGGAAGGTAACACTCTGGTCGATTTAGAAGGAAAGATGCAGCAGGACTATCGAAGGACTATCATCGCCAAGAGAAAAGGTGTGGGCGGAGACAAGGACCCTGATCCAGGTGGAGATCCTATGCAAATGGCACAAGACAAGGCACTCTTTGCCTGAATGTCCTCTCCAAGTTTGTCAAAGTTTGGCTGGTGGGAAGGAGAATCGCAGAGTTGACAGACGTCAACATACGGTGGAAAGAATAGCACAACTCGGAAACGAGCTGGAGAAGTTCAAGACTGCACCCTACGGATGGTCGGCAGGATCAACAGACCACATGAGGATGTTCAAAAATCCTCAAAGCTACCCAAGAGCAACCTTTCTGTCGTTTCTCGGTTTTCCTTGTTTTTCGAAGCTTTAGCTGTCAGATTTTCACAGAGGACATCGGAGAGGGAATTCAGGGAATGGCAGGCTGACAGTCAATCCTCCTATCAGGAGTAATCAATGCTGGTCAGGGTTCCTTTGGCCATACGGAAGGAAGCGTGAGTGTGTTCTACGTTGTATTCAATTTTGACTTGTCGGGGGAATAGGAACCGAACTGACGCTTTTCAGAATGGATATGGAGCCAGGACCATAAGGACCTGTTATTTTTAAAAAAAAAAAAAAAAAAAAAAGAATCTGATGATGGTGCTTACCTGCGCAATCAACAGGTTGCCAAACATGTTCTGACACTGACTAGGCCATGAATGAGAAGAATTCCCACCACCGTTGCAAACGTCTTCAACAGCCACGTTCTTAGCCACTTCCATATCCAACAGCTTGTGAAGCTCTCCAAAAGATCGCACCCGCTTGGACTTCGGCTTCGTCTTCGTCTTTGACCCATACCGATACACAGGAAGCTTGGCACCTTCACAGTGTTCACACACACACAATTTATGATTTTTTATTACTATTTTTGTTTTCGAATGTGGTTTACTTCTATTGAATCATGCGCTTCTTGTTTTTTTCTATGTTGGGCCGTTGCCCGGCCCGGCACGCCCGGGCCAGTTGGGCAGAGGGGGGCTCGCCCAGCAAAACCAGACGGGTCAAAAAAGAGGCAAGGATCTCCCCCCCCCAAAAAGTCTTCAGTCCAGGATTGCGCTTGGCCTAAGCAGTCAGAATCCAGTCTTAACTTCGGTTTTGGCGATGGGTCATCCTGGGGGGTGTGGGGGGTATAAACAGTGACTAAAGGGCTTAAAAGGGTACATTTGGACTCCTGTTTTCTCATTTATTTTTATCTTGAAATTAACAAGGAATTTCGAGGTGGCCCTCAGCCAAAAGTCGTTTGTATTGCAATTTTACACAACATAATTTTTTTTGGACTTTTCTTAATTTTTCTATTTTTCTTTTTTTTTAAATATTATTCGCTGGGATCGCCCGGGACCCTGCCCGGGCCGCCCAGGAGGGTACCCGGGCGACCTTCCCCCTCCCTAAATTCTTTCGCCTTTCCCTACCTACCTACTCCGGAGGCTATATAGAGGGGAGTCTTGCAAGCATAGCCCCCCCTCACAGTGAACGCGATATAATTGCCTATTGCCCCTTGCCCTAGTGGTTAATGGTGCACGGTTGGGGCCACTAGAGGGAGTCCGGCCAATGCAAAGACCAATCACTTTTGCCAGTGGCTGTGCCTCCCTTTTCATTGTCCCCCAGCCGCCACCGAAGAGTCTAAGGCCAACACTCTCCCACACACCACACACAACCCACTCACTCCCACAGTCAGACCTGTGTTGGCCAAAGGCCCTACTAATACCAATCAGATGCATCAAGAGGACTATCTCAGGTGGTTGGCACTAAGTGCGCTGCAGGCGGTCATGGGGCTCAAACCCACAACCTTCAGAATGCCACTTGCGTGCCTATCCAACTGAGCTAGGCCGCTGGCACATATTTACACGCATAGTAGTACCCAAAAAAAAAACAAAAAAACATTTAAAAATATGAGTAAAAATGTGGGAGCCATCTACACAGGGACGTGCATCTATGTTCTATTATTCTATAAAATGTACTCTATTCATGGTACTTTTTCTTTTTTTCCTCTTTTGCGATGGCCATCCAATCTACTACCTTCTTCCCCCGAACAAAATGTACGGTCATTATAGCTGTATTTGAGACATCTTTCAGTCTAGATACAGCTATAAGGACCGTACATTGTACTCGGGGGAAGAAGGTGGTGGGGAGCAGCACCTGCTGCTAATTACGTCCAATGTCACATGCAGCGGAGGGGGGGAGGGAAGAGGGATATACTGTCACTATTCTCCACTGTTATGATTTCCAACTTGCAGTTCTAGGGGCATGCTGCTTACCACACACACACACACAGTTTTGTCTTGGTGCCCAGTGGCCCATCGAGCGTTGAACAGCTTTCGGATCCACTTTTATATTTAAATTCCACTTTTATATTTAAATTAAGAGACAACTGCGCCTGTGACCGCTGCACAGTTTGGAATTCGCAGGAACAACAGTCCACTGCAAGCTTGGGCGAAGACCAGTTCAAAACTGCAAGAAAAACAGTAAACTGGGCGTTCGAAGGCCTACCGGTTCAATAATTGGTAAAAACGGGAGGTGGCGGTCGCGCTTTTTGTTGTTTTTTTGTTTTTTTGTCTTTTGTCTTCTTTGCACCTTCGATTTTTTTTTATTTATTTATTTTTTTCGCGCCTGCCACGCCGAGCTGTGTAGGCCAAGTCTCTCCAAGGAAGCTACGGTCTTTCCCCGAACACAGCGCACCCTCATCTTGGCTGTACCGGACCGGAAATATAGCTTGTATACGTTCAATTTCAGGGTGCGTTATGTTCGGGGGAAGGCGGTAGTGTCCCAGGCGGCATTTTCAGCTGGTGTGGGAGTGGTCCGATTTCAATTGTAGGACTTCGTGGCGTTACGACAGTTTTTTCTTTTTTTCTTTTTTTCTTTTTTTCTTGTTGTTGAAGTTCGTTTTTTTTTTTTTTGGTGATGCTCGTTTGTATCATGCCATGTTCTAAAATTCAGTTACCGAGGGCCAGGTCCCACTCGCAACGAGGATTGGATTGAATGCATGCATCTGGACGTCTTTGTAGGAAATGTGCAGAAAATCCAGATTGAACACGTCCATTTGCTAGTGGGACCTCGCCTCCAATCCACCAGTGTAGGGCCTGGATCCACCAGTTACCACATGCACAGGGGAGTGGTCCCACTAGCAAAGAGGATAGGATCGAATGCCTGAATCTGGACCTAATTGTGGAGAGGTGCAGGTTCTTTTCTGCACCTCTCCATAAAACACATCCAGATTCAGGAGCTCGATCCTATCCTCTTTGCTAGTGGGACCTCGGCCCAGGGGACCCAAAAAGTGTAGTGAAAAGAAACATTAAAAAAAATGTGGAACAGTCAGAGGTGGCAGCATCTTCAACCGTAGATCGTCCATCCTCCAGCGGCCAGTCTTCAGAGTTGGCCGTAGTTGAAAACTTTTTTTTTTGTTTTTTTTCTGAAAACTTTCCCGTGCTGCGAGCAGGGAACCTCGCACAACGACTATCCTGCCGTCAAATT